CCGCAAAATGAAATAAAGGCTATACATCAATTCTCATGTCACCAATACATGTCTAATCAATAATATCTATATGCACAAAATACCACTGATTACAGGAAAATGAAAACCTACCTTTTCAGACAAATATTGTTCATATATAATTTCAGCCTCTTCTTTGTGAGAAGACAAGTCATGAGCAGAAAAATGATCATGACAGAGATCTGGCATTGTCATTCCTGAACCCTGTGCTTCAGATTCTTCCAGATGTTGTAACCTTTCTAACTCCAGTGAGCAAAGCCTCTCACCAACTGTTGCTCGCCAACCTGTTATGATCAAAGTATGATACTGAAGTGTATGTGAAGGGATCTCACATCATAACCAATTGCTGATGGGAACATGTAATGTGTACTGTAGTTATATTTTGTAAAGTGTTTAAACAGAGATGGCTTTGTAAGAGCTCAGCCATCCAAAAGTCAATTAGCAGGACTATATGACACCTGATATCCCCTTTCTTTTTTTTTTGAGAAAAGTTTTTGTTTCTAATGTTATTACTGTCAATGCTGTCATCATAATTGACATTATGATAATCATACTGTTATTAGCAATACTAATAGCAAAAGAAAGAAAGAAAGAAAAAAAAATCCACCAAAATTAATGAAAAGGATAAACGGATGAGATAGATACGTCAGGTAATTGAGTTGTTAGTGACTAGTAAGGCCATCATAGCAAAATCTAAATTAATAAACTAAACCCAGAGTGACTATGGCATGTATCTACATGCCATCCCTGGTGGCAATGGGTTTAGTAATTTTAGTTTTTGTAAAATAGGTCTCCTTAAAAATAAGTACCTTTAGATAACACTCTAATACTTAACCCACGAAATCCGAGTGCCTCACTTCCCTTATGTGGCTCAAAATCTGGGCATTAGGCTTACTTGAGTGGTGACTCTCCTGGGTGTGTGTGGCTTGTAGGACCAGCTCAAATAACCACTAGTGTGCAGTGTCAATGCTCCTTGCCTTCTCTTTGTTATGTTAGTATCTATTTTTCTGCATAAGCATTTTTTGCTTTTTTGCCATTTTCCTAAGTCTTTATTTAACATTTAATACGCAGCACTATTATGGAAATGGACCGTTTTCCTTGCACAGATCCCATATCATCTCTCTAGATAGTCTTTAAGTCTGTGCAATAACAGTAAAAATGTGTAACATTTTGTTATCTGTCATTATTTTTACATTTTCATATTATTAAATTACCTATAATACACCCTGTAATGCTGGTCATGGTGGGCAGTGGTGGAAACAGTGTCCTCCCTAGAGCCAGTGCTCTTCCAGTTATGACTCATGGATGGTACATTCCACACATGTTTACTGATAGAAATAATGCCAGAACCCCTTCCTAAATGCCCAGTGAGTCTAATCCTCCTCCAAGAGCTTTGTGCACTCATATCAGCCTATCATATCAGCCTTAATTCATATTTTTGCATGATGGCATGTTACCATCACCAAGTCCTTGTCATTTTTTTTTTAAAACATGAGTCATGTCATCCAAGGGGTTAAAGAAAAAAAAGAAAGAAAAAAAAAAAGGAAGAGGAAGAAAAAAAATTATGCATACAAACCAGGGGATTCTAGAAATCAAATCAATAGCATTTGACTAGCAGTTTTATATGAGTAGTTATTGTAGCTCTAAGGTACCTACTTTTCCTAATATTACTTCAATACAGAAAAACTATGTGAGAAGTGTAACATATAATCATACAATATGAATATCATAACACTGAAATAACTGTGCTAATTCATAACTTACACTCAACATTGAGATAAAGATTAATGTAATGTTGAGAGTTAACTGAAGCCATGTAGTTGAGAAAGTGATCCAGTGTGAGACTATTTTTCAGGATGGCTTCCAGGGGCAGCTGGAATAGCTTTCCTCGAGCCAGTTGCCTGTAGTCTAGGCTCACTGGTAAACCTGTGCAGAAAAATACAAATAATTAATTTTTAATTCTACTCTAGGGTCCTTTGGAACTTTATCAATATGAGCAATTTGATCACTGGGATATCAAAGGTGCCAAAGCTGAAACTTACCCATAGAATCAGTTTCTGTGCCTTTGTCTATTCTGTTAATGCGGTTATCTATGACACGGCGAATGAAATCCAGACTACTTAGCTGCTGCTTGACTTCGTTACCTTCATCACGTCCACCTGAGTCTCTTGATCTCTATAAAAGAGTTATCATTATCATTCTACTCTTTTCATTTTATGAAACTGAAAGGTCTATGCAGATAAAGCCAGGATGACATAACAGAAATACAGCCATGCCACTGGTCACATTTTTGATCATCATAAAATTCCTAAGTATTACTAAAATACTTGGTAATACTCACCAGATTTGCCATTTCTTTTGTAACAAGCATTCTCACTGCATCTAATTCTTCAATATTATTTGTTGATTTTATGACATTCACAAACAACTCACTTGTAATTGGAATATCTGTACACTGAAACAGAGAGAAGCAAATATTAAAGGGGTGCATCATAATACACCATATCAGACTTTTTTTTTCTTTACTTCATAACATGCACATACATGTACAAATACTAACTTCATCAAGAATGAATGAATGAAGGGACTAACTCTTGTTGATCTTTTCATAAGTAGTGTGTGCCCCCTCCCCTCAAATATCCATCATCATTGTCCCAATCCTACCTTATCGTGGTATTTAAATGAGGGAAACTGGGTTACTGCCAAACTGCCATTATCAGATTCAAGACATTAACTGTTTTCAGTAAATGAACTCATGAAAATTGCATCTGACCTTGCTAGCCAAAAGGCTAATAACTACATATAGGGAAACTCCTTGATTTACAATATATTACCATGCATGAAAATACTAGAAACATAAGTTGTAACCATAACAGAATCAAAGGGAATGCTTTCTTAAACCATGTCTAATTTTCATATTCATTGCTGTTCAAATTTTGATTCAAGCATTTTTTGGCAGCTTGTACCTTTAAAGAAAATGCAAAATATATATATATATATTTTTTTAGATATAATCAACCTGGTCACATTGATGATAATATGTGTGTACATCCCACATCCACTGTGAGTTTAGTTTATCAATCATTTTTACACACAGATGGCTTAGGCCCGTGTTTTTAAAACTTTTCGCCAGGGGTGGCATTTGATTTCGCCAGGCAATCGGGAATTTCATACCATTAAAAGCATGGCAAGCTTTCTCCATTTGTGTAATTTTGTGATTTGTGTAATGTAAAAGTAAAATGTTTCATAATGACAAACAAATACATAAATTGATAATATTGTTTATTTTGCATAATTATGTTGAAACTTTTACATATTTATCATAGCTATGTAATGTCTACCTTTATTGCAAAATAAAATTGAATTCGATTGAATACGTTTCTTCTTAACTCCTCACAGGTGATCTTACACCAGGGCTGTCGTTCAGTCGTATTGGAACAGCCTGGCGAAGCTAAGTCGCGAGAGCCCTCCCTTTCCCATGAGTGAATAGCATTTTCTTGCTTTCAAATTACAAATCAGTAACATATTTGTGTATAATATGATATAGGAATCACATAGTAATTTTAAAATCTTTAAAAATTACAATTAATTATGAAATAACATATATCTGTAGCTTTTTCAAGACCATTAATCTTCCAGTTGATAACAAGACAGCAGTATTCCTACCGCCCCCAAGATGAATTATTTTGATCTAAGTTGTTGTTATTTTGGTTGTAGGGATAATGTTCTTTTCACAAATGTTACCAAAAGTGTTTTGATGATGGCATGTTTACTATGGACTATAGAAACATAGCTGTAATGCTCTACCACTCTGCAATGAGGCGTGTCTAATGATACCCTTGTAGGCCTACAGTTCAATATCTTATATTAATTAGGTATAGTAAAATGGTTAATTTTTAACTCCTTTGTTAAAGCATCAAGTTAATTTTTGTATAAAAGTATAAAGTTGATATACTATAGTATAAAGCATAAACTTTGTTATGGTATAAAGTATAAAGTTAACTTTGTTATAGTATAAAGATAATTTTTAACTCCATTGTTATAGTATAAAGTGAGACTATTACAGAGATAACATTTTTGTCTTCTCCCGAGGTTAATAATTAAGTTTAGGTTATGTTAGGTAAGATAAGGTAAGGTAGGATTAGGTTAGGAATATACACATCCTCTATATAGTCCTTTATGAGGTCCTGAAGGACTTTTTTTTATCCAAAATGGATATAGGAGAGGACCTACAAACTTCTGTGCTGGTTGTCATGGTGATGCTGTGCACTGCAGACGTAAACAAATTTGCGTTTACTTTATTTTTTCAGTCACTTAAGTGCCAGATTTAGCAGAAATACAAGATCGCCCACCTTGGCAAATATTGGGTTTTAAAGTAAAACCTCCCTCACTCAGATGATGGCCTGGTGCACCATCACCAGGTGATTGCCAGCATGGGTGAAAGGTTTTAAAAATATGGGCCTTAGACATCAATGAGTTAATTACTAATCTTACCCAGCTCACTCCTTTAATGTGGTCTTGATTTTCACACATATCAATTTATATTCTATATTGCTACTAGTATTGTCAATAAAATTAACTCTTATGATCTGAATGAAGTGATCATCACATCATGAAAAAATCTGGCTTGAAGGGTTGGTGATATGAACATACTATCAAAGGAAAATTTTGCTTTTGGCTAGGGTGACACAAACTTGCTGTCATGAACATTTTGGTTTAAGGTGGGGGTGACGGGAATGACTTGACATGAGTGCACAAAGCACTTGGAGGGTGCTTACACTTATTTGGCATTTAGGAAGGGGTTTTTGTATCATTTCCATCAATAAACAAGTGTAGAATATAGTGTCTGTAAACCATGAATGGAAGAGGGTCAGCTCCAGAGGGGATATTTCAATGCTCAGGATCCTATTCCTATCCACCATGAACGAAAATACACAATGTATTACAGAAAATTGAAATAACTACCTACACAGTTGATATGGAGTCTGTGCAAAGATAATAGTCCATTACCATCTGGATAAAGCAAATCAAATACATATATAGATAGAGGAAAATGGAAAAACAACAACTAAAAATGCTTATGCAGAAAAAGAGAAAACATTGCAAAGGGGAAGCGTGGAGTCTTTGTCATCACACACGAGTGTTTGTATGCGCCTGGCTTATAAGCTGCACATCTGTCAGGGTGAAGCTATCATTACAGGAAAAAAGAGTGTATGGCACTCCAAGGAAACTGTCATGAATGGGTTAATTGCAAAGGGGGAAACTGAAAACTCTAGGAAGAGAGAAATGAGGTTAGGTTAGGTCATGTAGGTCTACTAACTGATCTCTTGGTAGTAGAGCACTTTTGAAACCATCTGTGTATAAATGCATTTCACATAACAAATCAACAATAGATATCACACATTCCTTGTGCAATGGGTTAAGAACTTTATAATAACAAATATAGCAAAACATGAAAGCTTAAAGCTAATCCCATACAAATAAAGTCTTCCTTGTTCATATACTGCAAATGGAGAACAGCAGTCATGAAAGNGTTTTCTTGTCTCTTTGTCCTCAATCTTTTCTCTCCCTCTTTCTCTCTCTTCTCTCTCTCTTCTCTCTCTCTCCTCCTTCTCTCTCTCTCTCTCTCTCTCTCTCTCTCTCTCTCTCTCTCTCTCTCTCTCTCTCTCTCTCTCTCTCTCTCTCTCTCTCTCTCTCTTCTCTCTCTCTTTCTCTCTCTCTCTCTCTCTCTCTCTCTCTCTCTCTCTCTCTCTCTCTCTCTCTCTCTCTCTCTCTCTCTCTTCTCTCTCTCCTCTCTCTTCTCTTTCTTCTTTCTTTCTCTCTCTTTCTCTTTCCTTTTCTCTTTCTTTCTCTTTCGTCTCCGTGCTCATTTATCTTTTCTGTCTATATTTATGTGTATGTATGTATGTATGTATGTATGTATGTATGTTTGTATGTTGTAATGTGTATGTGTCTTGAGTGTGGCTGTGTGTGTTGTCTTGTGTGTGTCCTGTTGATGAGTGTGTGTGTTTGTGGTATGTATGTTGTGGTATGTGTGTTGCTTGGTATGTGTGCGTGTTTGTGTGCGTATGTATGTTGGTATGTGTGTTGTTGTACTATTGTGTGTGTATGTTGGTTATGTGTGTGTGCTTGTGTATGAGTGTGTTTTTGTGTGCATATGCATGTTGGTATATCTGTGCTTTGTGTCATGAGTGTGTTGTGATTGGTGTATGTATGCTATGTTGGTATGTGTATGCGCTTGTGTATGAATGTGTGTGTTTGGTGTATGTAATGTTTTTATGTGTGTGTGCTTGTGTATGAGTGTGTGTGTGTTGGTTATATATGTATGTTGGTATGTGTGTGTGTGTGCTTGTATATGAGTGTGTGTGTTTGTGTATGTATTATGTTAGTATGTGTATTGCTTGTGTATGAGTGTGTGTGTGTTTGTTATGAATGTATGTTGGTATATGTGCTTGTTGTGTAATGCATGTTGTATTGTGTTATGCGAGGTGTTTCCATGACCCAAATAGTTCGTGGAAAATCGTCCATCTCAGAGAGAAAGATGACTCCACTTTCCGGCCAAAACAGCGCGATCGTAGCCTATCAACTTACTATAGTCTCCCCTTCATTCACAATTCCCCTCAACCTCTTTATAACGAACATACCCGCATAAAAAAAGAAAAAAAAATACTAAGACATTCTTTTGTGGAAGGAAGATGTAAATGATGGAATTTTCCCTGAAATCGTCCCACGAATTATGTAGATTAAGGAAAATGAAAATTACCAAGAAAGAATTTATCAGAAAGTTTTTCTCGCTACCCTTGCAGTCAGGAAACATTGGCTTCACAAGTTTTTTTTTCTTTTTTTTTTCTTCTTTCTTTCTTCTGTAAGTAAATTGAACTTCAAGTGCGACATTTTTTTTTTTTTTTTTTAAGTTGGCGAGAGGGTGAAAATGGAAATGGCAACTTTGATGTGAGAATTAACAAAGTTAATACTAGTGGTGATGATGATGATGATGATTATGATAATAATATAACAATGCAATAATGATAATTGCAATGTATAATAATAATAATAATAATATAATAATAATTAATAATAATATAATATAATAATAATAATAATAATAATAATAATAATAATGATATAATAATAATAATAATGATAATAATAATAATGATAATAAATAATAGAATAAGAATAAGAATGATATATTGAATGATATAATGATAATAATGATAATAATAATAATAATAATATATAATAATAATGTTAATGATACTATGATGATTATAGTAAGATAGTGGTAATCCGAAATAAAAATGGCAATAATGGGTAATAATTCTAGCAGTTAATGACTGTGATATAATGATATAAGTATGATACTGATAATGATAAACAGTAAGTAGAAGGAAAATAATGATAACGATTATAATAATGATAACAACACATAGAAATGAATATGCATAAAAATGGCAAAAATACACACAAGAGAATTCAAAA